CGGCGGGAGGTCCGCTTCCAGCGAGGGGAGCTGTAGAAACAAACAGCCAATGTGTGTGTGTGTTCTGTTCAGGTGTTGTCACGTAAATAACCAAGCATGAATGCATATAAGTATTTTTTATTACATTGCTGTGGTTAATTTGAGGTAATAGTGTTACTGTAGAAATCAGACAATCACTTTTTGTTGTTATATATTCTCAGGGAGATGATACAAGCTCTAAATCTGAAATACACACCACACACAAATGTGTATTTTCATCTAATTGTACTGTGCAACAGTTAGAATAAAGTTTTTGTATTTGTATGATTGCATTTGTATTTATTATATACTTGTTTAAGTATAGCAAGTATAATTAATATAATGTAGGAATCGGTAAGGAATCGGACCGTTAAGAAGGAATCGGTAAGGAATCAGAATCGTTAAAATCCTAACAAGTCCCAACCCTACCAGCGCCCCATGTACAGAGGCATTGCCTCCCTGCAGCGGCCGAGGGTTCAAATCAGGCTCATGGCCCCTTGCTGCATGTCAGTCCCCACTCTCTCTCTGTCTCCCCATTTCACTCACTGTCCTGTCATTAAAAGCAAAAAGCCCACAAAAATAATCTTAAAAAAAAAAAAGATGCAAGAATTAATTTAATGAGTTTAAAGACCTACTATGCTTTTCCTTATTTTCCTTCAAATATATCATGTTACAATGTCAGATAGTGATATTTAGTGTGTCAAAAGTTTAAAATAATGAGGTAAACATACGTAAAAGTAATCCCTGTGAGCAAAACCTCACAGAATAATCTGTTACTGCTACTGCAAGAGTTTACATTACATAGTCCATACTGCTAAATGCCACTACACGCTAACATCAGGGAAATCCTGGTTGCCAATCTTGTTAATATGTCACTGACTTTTGATCACATTCCTGCTGGAACATGGTCATGTGAGAATGTTGGTATAGAAGCTTTGGATGGTGATTTTTCAGGGTGGTATAATTTTGTTACATTCAATGACAGTGCAGAGAAACCGAGATACAGAAGACCCAAAAACTGACCACTCAGAGCCAACTGGGCCTTTTTTGGGAGAGGGATAAAAAGACAGGTATTAAAACTTCCGGCAAAGAGAGAATGAGGAAAATAAAGTGTTTTTTTTCCCAATAAAGCATGAAAACATGTTCTAGTTGAAACCTTATGCCTGGTTCACACTACACGACATTTTTGTCCATTCTGACAGTCTCTATGTCACATTAGGTGATTGCAGAGTCATAAAATCGTGCCGTGACTTGGCCGACAGACATGACAGACTACATGATGGTCCACACCAATCATCCCCGGAAGTCTTTCACGATGTATGTGATGTCAATGGTTATTCTTGTCCTATTTTTATTAGAATTACTGTTATTTCAGTCACTGCCTGTTCATGTGCCAGCTGAAATGTTATTGTAGTAACATAAAAAGGGCTACCAGGTGACAGGAGCTACATTTGAAGTATGCAAACATACAAGTCACTGAATCCTACACAACAAGTTCCTGCAAATTTTTCACAATAAAAGCCTATTTAGAAATGAAGGGATTCTCTCAACCAAAGTTATAAGGGGCTTTTAATTTGAAACAGACACAGGAAGTGTTGAGTTCGAAATGACTTTATCAAGGCAAACGGGGGGCGGATAAAAAGTAAAACTAGAAAAATACAGAGGGAATAATAAATACTAGAAACAGCCTGTTTATAATGTCTGTGTCAAATGAGGCTGGTAGCCTCTGCAGTTGTGGTAAGTAAAAGCCACTATTTTTTAATTTTCTTACTTTATGTCCATCTCAAGTATGAAGAAGTAACATTGTTTGCTAGAATAATGCTAATGACAGTACTCACTGGGTTGATAAAGTGCCTCTGCTGTTTCACACCATAATTTTTCCCCTTTCTCTGTCATGGTAAAATCCCTACAGGAACTATCTTAAAGGCTTGGGTATTGATGACATACAGTTGTCTACAGCAGCAGATATCTCTGTGTTCCTATTGGCCAAAGTGACAGCTGTGACTGGAGCAGTCATGAAAGACAAAAAGAAAATCAAACATGCTAGACTTTATGTTAGAACGTCATGAGTCGTCCCATACGTGGCGTCGGTTGTCGTCTACTATGACACACTACACGAGATGAAACGATGGATTATCACGTACGGCACTCATTGTCGTTCACGATCCATGCCGACACCATACGTCGCTGTGTCGGGCTATAATTGGGACTGATATCGTGTAGTGTGCACCAGACATTAGATACAAGTATGAACCTGAAAATAAGCATGATACGTCCCCTTTCATAGGAAAAGAGGGACGCATGTGGTATAAGTCGTTTTGTTTTTTGCAATTTTTCATTTTTACAATTTTTTTGTACGCACTCCTGTCACAAAATAAGCAGCAGCTGTTGCAGTGATACTACAATCTAAAGGGCCCTAACACACCAAGCTGATCATTGGCCATCGGTCAAAGTTGGGCCATTGGTGAGCGTCTGACGCCCTTGAAAAAGTGGTGTTTCCCGCACCGTTGGCCCTCGTCGGCTGTAGTTGGCCTTTTTTCCGCCAAATCAGCATGTTGAATCAACATCGGCACAGCGGAGCCCAATGGGAAATGAAATCATTCTGATTGGCAGTTCAGCTCAGCTTGTAAGAACAGAAATGGAAGTGAGAAATGTGAACAAGGAACTGAAGTCCAAAAGGGAGTGCAGCTGAAACAAACTTGTTATGAAGTAAGATTGTTTATGTTCAGCTATCAAGCTTTTTAGCAGAAACGTTTTGTGATAGTTTTTTATTGTTGACTGGTGCACGGTAAATATGCTTTTCACTGGATTGTGACGTTAATGTGCTAACTGGCTAACTAGCGTCAAGACAGTCTTTTAGTTTCCCTTTTTGAATGATGATTACAAACAACCACTTTCTGCTGGTATGGAGGGGTATATCCTCTCACACAGGTGCAGAACACATGGGCTTGTTGGCCATTGGTTTGGTGTGTTCATGTGCAACTTTTTGGCTGAGACACGGCAATCAGAGGCGACGCAGCAGGGGGCTCTCGTCGCCGCTAGTTCTCCAATGACGGTCTGGTGTGTCTGGCTCTTAGAAAGTGTTTACACAGACAGAATTGTGAGGCTTTATATATATATATATATATATACACATATATATATATATATATATATATATATATACAGTACAGGCCAAAAGTTTGGACACACCTTCTCATTCAATGCGTTTTCTTTATTTTCATGACTATTTACATTGTAGATTCTCACTGAAGGCATCAAAACTATGAATGAACACATGTGGAGTTATGTACTTAACAAAAAAAAGGTGAAATAACTGAAAACATGTTTTATATTCTAGTTTCTTCAAAATAGCCACCTTTTGCTCTGATTACTGCTTTGCACACTCTTGGCATTCTCTCCATGAGCTTCAAGAGGTAGTCACCTGAAATGGTTTCCACTTCACAGGTGTGCCTTATCAGGGTTAATTAGTGGAATTTCTTGCTTTATCAATGGGGTTGGGACCATCAGTTGTGTTGTGCAGAAGTCAGGTTAATACACAGCCGACAGCCCTATTGGACAACTGTTAAAATTCATATTATGGCAAGAACCAATCAGCTAACTAAAGAAAAACCAGTGGCCATCATTACTTTAAGAAATGAAGGTCAGTCAGTCCGGAAAATTGCAAAAACTTTAAATGTGTCCCCAAGTGGAGTCGCAAAAACCATCAAGCGCTACAACGAAACTGGCACACATGAGGACCGACCCAGGAAAGGAAGACCAAGAGTCACCTCTGCTTCTGAGGATAAGTTCATCCGAGTCACCAGCCTCAGAAATCGCAAGTTAACAGCAGCTCAGATCAGAGACCAGATGAATGCCACACAGAGTTCTAGCAGCAGACCCATCTCTAGAACAACTGTTAAGAGGAGACTGCGCCAATCAGGCCTTCATGGTCAAATAGCTGCTAGGAAACCACTGCTAAGGAGAGGCAACAAGCAGAAGAGATTTGTTTGGGCCAAGAAACACAAGGAATGGACATTAGACCAGTGGAAATCTGTGCTTTGGTCTGATGAGTCCAAATTTGAGATCTTTGGTTCCAACCGCCGTGTCTTTGTGAGACGCAGAAAAGGTGAACGGATGGATTCCACATGCCTGGTTCCCACTGTGAAGCATGGAGGAGGAGGTGTGATGGTGTGGGGGTGTTTTGCTGGTGACACTGTTGGGGATTTATTCAAAATTGAAGGCACACTGAACCAGCATGGCTACCACAGCATCCTGCAGCGACATGCCATCCCATCCGGTTTGCGTTTAGTTGGACGATCATTTATTTTTCAACAGGACAATGACCCCAAACACACCTCCAGGCTGTGTAAGGGCTATTTGACCAAGAAGGAGAGTGATGGAGTGCTGCGGCAGATGACCTGGCCTCCACAGTCACCGGACCTGAACCCAATCAAGATGGTTTGGGGTGAGCTGGACCGCAGAGTGAAGGCAAAGGGGCCAACAAGTGCTAAACACCTCTGGGAACTCCTTCAAGACTGTTGGAAAACCATTTCAGGTGACTACCTCTTGAAGCTCATCGAGAGAATGCCAAGAGTGTGCAAAGCAGTAATCAGAGCAAAGGGTGGCTATTTTGAAGAAACTAGAATATAAAACATGTTTTCAGTTATTTCACCTTTTTTTGTTAAGTACATAACTCCACATGTGTTCATTCATAGTTTTGATGCCTTCAGTGAGAATCTACAATGTAAATAGTCATGAAAATACAGAAAACGCATTGAATGAGAAGGTGTGTCCAAACTTTTGGCCTGTACTGTATATACACACACACACACATAGATCTGTCAAGCTTATGTGGGGATCCTAAATAAGGAAATAAACCCCATCTTATCCAGACATGTAAAACTGCCAGAACATTTACAAAGCCATGTTCATGTCTGCACTTCCACTGACCCCAGTTCCACTGGCTCACGCACACACACATGAACACATTGTTTACCCACCTGTTGAGGATGTACCAGACCCCAGTGAGCGTACCAGCCAGCCAGGAACCAGACAGGAGCCATGCTATGAGGTACAGAGCAATCACATACACCGCTTGGAGCGAGAACACTGTGTAAATATAGAAATACACTGGCTCCAGATACGACTGGAACACACACACACACACACACACACACACACACAGATAAACCATTATTTCATTAGGCATTAAATGCTGTAAATGAACATAGAGAGTTAAATGCAATGACAGCGACTGACTCAGGCACTCAGGAATAGGGATGGGCAGCACAAGCAAAAACACTATTCAAAAATCATGGCAACTATTCGACGATTTTTCGAATAATCGCCCCCTCCCCCCTCCCCTCCCGGAGCCTCGCACACAGACATCCATTCATCATTACGGCAGGACTCCACCGGCTGCAAAGCGTCACGTCAGCGTAGCATCGCGGCGTATTCATTTGGGCTCCACTGACTGCGTACGGAAGCGACACATAGAGAAGCCAGCGGGGTTGTTTACCGTTTGCCGAGCCGAGAGGCTGCATGAAATGTTAAAGCATTTTCCATCTAAGTTATTAAATATATTTGAGTTATCTACAAATTTACTGTACTGTTTGTCATCTACTCGCTTTCAAATGTCCACCACGGACATGTTCACAATGTCACAGATAAACATGGGTAAATGCATGAAAAAAAAATCATCACATATCACCTCTGATAATGGTTTATTCATTTAAAAACACATTGTGCTAGTTTAGCACACTATTTCATGTAGTTTTTATCTGCTGAAGGGTCACGTAGGGGAGCGTAGCGCGACAAAAATAGAAGAGCCACGTAAAATAGAGTTGTTGGGCGACAGAAGGGGGTTGTCGCACTGCTCCCATTGCCGGTGGAGCCGCTGTAATTGATTAACAGGGGGGCGAGCTGCTACGGGACTAGCGCTGCAGACGTGTCGCGCCACTGACGTGCCCGGTGGAGCCCAGCCATACGGTCCCTCGCCGCCTCCTGCGTGCTTCGCTCTCAAATGACTGTGCATACTTGTTGTAGACTTGTGATACGCAAGCTTTGCCTCACAGAGTTTGCACTGCACCTCATTTTCGTTTATTTTGTCGAAGTTGTTCCACAGGGAACTTTTTGATGACTGTAGTAGTCTCTGCATGTTTCTCCTGTTTGTAGAAGAGCATCAAACTAGCTGGTAGCCCATCTCACACCACTGTAGCAATCCTATACTGCCCTCGTGCGGTTAGGAGCTGAATTGCATGTCAAATAAAGGGGGGAAATAAGACGGCGAATAGTAATAGTCGCATTAAAAAATAGATTTTTCAAAATAAAACAACTATTCGAAAATCGTGACCCATCCCTACTCAGGAACACTGAGGCATTTTCCAGAGTTTGGTCTGATATGTCACTTCCCAGCAATCTTGTCACAGTGAGATCTCTAAGGAAGTTAAGTAACTGTTTCTCAGTTAATTGATATGCCAATACAGGAACCTTTTCCTCCAGTGTGACAAGTGCAAGTGTACCAAGCCATGTCAGCTATAAAGACCAAAATGTAAAATGCCACAGCATCTCAAATGCCTGACAGGCTCCTAATATGACTACTTTTCATAATAGTACCAGGAACTTGAAGGTGACTGAAGCAACTTTTCACCACTATATAACTCAGGGTCTTTTTGAAAACCCTGTTACACACAACTACCAAAGATCAGAATAAGGTTAAGTAATACTGAAAACTGATGTAAACTTCCCCCAATTAAAATAAAGAGCAGGACAGAGCTGCTGACGTTAGCCTAAACCTTGATAGCAATTAAGACAGCTTCCACACAGTAGGGATATATCACGCTGACATTGCATGATTCAGTCATGAATGTTTGTTTTAAAGCATGGCAAATAATACGACAAAATACAGTCTTGGAGTGTGATATTATTTTTACATTTTTCACACTTTGGGAATGCTTTATTTCACGGGCCAAAATGACAAGAAAAGTCACAGAGACAGTCAATCACATTGAAGTGTGGCAGTCATTACTCTAATCTTTTGTGTTTTACAAGCCAATTGTAAATAGCTGACAGCTGAGTGATGTGTTACCTGTATGGGCAACAGTCTGTAGAGAACACTGAGAAAGACCTCTTGGTAGATATTCATTCGCTGTAGGAGATTAATGGTCCTCTTAGATTCTGTCAAGTTGTCATGGATCAATTCTGAGAGCCCTGGAAACACACACACATACACACACAATTTAGAAATGCCACCATTTCTTCACAGTGACACAGACTGATTTTAACAATTATTATTGGGGGATGAATGTTTCCTAAAGCTGTCTTTGCTCATTTACAGGGTATGGTGCTGCTTTTAAAGAACAATAACTATTTGAAATGTCTGTCAACCACTAAAAATACATAATATTCTGCTTGAATTTAATTCTGTAATTGCTGAGAGGACAATGGATGCCTGAACCCATCAGTGTAACTATCCTTGGAAGCCCTCAAACATAAATCCCTCTGCTCAAATAAAAATTACTAAGTACTGTTGTACTGCATTTTTTAATAAAAAAAAAAAAACTAAATATGTCAGGGCTTCCCGTCCTGCAGTGTTTTATAGCACCTTCACATGAAGGCAGCCTGTAAAGCCCATTAATCTCCACTAACATCATGAAAAAATAATGAAATTAACACATGAACCTTGTAAAACTAAAATTACAGCCTTGCACTTGTATGCCTCCATAACCCCATCAAGCTGCAGTTACAGTATACATCCATGTCTGTGAAAACATGAATGCTTCACATACATCCTATCCCAGCCTGCACAGTCATTAGCACAGTTTCAAGGTAGGCACACAAGATTAGTGTCACCAATTCAGTATCTGGCCAAATGTCTCTTCTCTGTTCCTGAGATATGACGTAGAGTAATGGCCAGAAAAGTATTTTAGCAGAACATTATGATGTAACAGTGAAGCTGACCTCTGAACTTTGGGATATAAAATGTCATTACTTCATCATTAAATGCTATTAGTTATGACCAAAAACCGTGTTTTGTGAGGTCACAGTGACTTTGACCTTTGACTTTTGACCAACAAATTCTAACCAGTTCACTTGAGAGTCCAAGTGGACATTTGTGCCAAATTTGAGGAAAGTCCCTCAAGGCCTACTTGAGATGGCACATTTACAAGAATGAGCCGGATGCAAGTTCAAGTGACCTTGAATCCTGACCACCAAATTCTCTTCAGTTCATCCTTGAATCCAAGTAGATGGTTCTGCCAAATTTGAAGAAATTTCCTCACAGTGTTTTTGAGATATCACATTCACAAGAATGAGACAGAGGCAAGGTCATGGTGACCTTGAACTCTGACCATCAAAAAATTCATCCTTGAGTCCAAATGGAAATTATGTGCCAAATTTGAAGAAACTCTCTGAAGTTCTTGAGAAATCACATTCACAAGAATGGGAAGGATGGACGGACGGACATAATGCCTCCCACCACGGCTATCACCTGCACGGCAACATAAAAAGGTGAGGCGCTATTTCATACAGCAAATGTCATATATAATTGAGTGTAGCTGTCATTTACACCATAATGTACTAAATAAAGTGATCATGAGAGAAGATGAGTCATGATCTAGGTGGCATACTGCCTCTGCTAAACAACTTCCTGCAGGAAATCCTGTAGAAGGATGGGGAAGTTCTTCCCAATAAGCTTAAAAGCCACTGTATGGGCAAGGCAATATTTTTACCGTTTACAATATATTCCTACTGACTACTTACATGTGACAGATGTTGCCCTTAGTGAATAACCCACAGAGAATTATCACCTTACTTTGCAATTACCCTCAGCTTTAGAGTGTTTTATCCTCTTTCAGCCTGCTGTTTTAGCTTGACGACTGCTACTTTAATATTCCAGTTAACTCTCACCACTCTCATCAACACTGTTTTAAGATGTAGCAGGCAGCCAACTAGAACTACCACCTTGTGGTTGTATGCCTCCTCCAACCAGTCAAGTTGCAATTTTCATCAATGTCTGTCCAGACTCATATGTAGTAGACAACCGTAAACAACCCTTCAAATATGGATGTTGCTGCAAATAAGCTACAAATTCTTAAACCTGGATGCATCACACTCATCTTCAATATGGCAGCAGAAAAGATCTACACAATCAGTACAGTTTTAAGGAGGGCACCCAAGATTAGTGTCACCAATTTATAATCTAAACAAATGTGAAATATGGTCACAATCTCCCCTAGCTTTGAGTGATGTCCAGAAAAGTGTATTTTGCAAAACATTATGCTGTCACGGTGATGTTGACCTTTGACCTTTTAGATATAAAATGTCATCATTTCATCATTTTCCTACTGGACCTTTCTGTGAAATTTTGTCATAATCAACAAATGAATTTTTGCCCAAATATGTTTTGTGAGATCACAGTGACCTTTGACCTATAACTTCATCCTTGAATCCAAGTGAACGTTTTTGCCAAATTTGAGGAAATTCATTCACAGCTTTCTTGAGATATCTTGTTCAAGAAAATGGGACAGACAAATGGACAACCTAAAAACATAATGCCTCTGGCCAACATTGTCGCCAGCATGGAGGCATTAAAAGCTCTAAAACCCCATTGCATAATAGCTGCTCAGAGTCAGCACCAAACAGTAGACAGACAAAGTTAGTGAGCATGTGGTGAATTACTGAAAAATTTAGCAGCTTAAGAGCCAGGTATTTTTTCTAAAAAGTTAGTAGGATGCACAACAAAGTTGAAAGGAAAACATATATTGGACTAACATTTGCCAGGCTTCTACAAACATGGCAAATATTGCTCCATATCTGCTGGACTTGCCTATAAGCAACAGTTCCCTAACAAATTTTCCACATAAGCTTAGAAGGTGATAATTCAGCAGTGTTGTGTTCAAAGCTTGTTTCTGCTGCCACCAAGTGGCCAAAAAAAATCTATTATTGCTGGTTTACATTATCATTGGCAAATACTATTAAAACAAGACCCTAATAAACCAGAATTATCCTTTAACAATGGCATTATCATGGCCTGCAAAAAGACTAGTACTGATGTTATATGAGTGCACACACACTGGTGTCATTATTCCAAATTGGGCACTGGGCGCAGTATCATTATTATGTATTTGGTTTGACTGGAACGAAGCGTGACACCAAACTTGCAGCGTAGAGCTGAGTTTTTGCTGCAGGCAGGGATGTGTCAGCCTGATCACTGCTGTGTTCTTGATCCATGTAAGACCATAAAACCAGCACTGTTTTCCATAAACAAAGTACACATTACTACCCACACACAGCCCACTCCACTTCATTCATTCCTTTTTATCTTCCTTTCAAACTGTCATTTTCACTTTATCCCTATTCTTTCCCCCTTCCTTTAGTCCTTCCTACCTTCCTCACTTTAATTCTTCTAACCTATCTTAGCTCCTCTATCCTTCTGTCCTTATACCTTTCCTCTCATGCTTCTGTATCTTTCTTCCTCTTCTTTATTCACACCTCCTTGCTTATTTTCTCCCACCAAACTCTTTTTCCTTCAACACATCAATCTGTTACTTTGTCATTTCTTCCATCATGCCATCCATATAGTTTTCTTCTCCCTCCTTTATCCGAAACTACTGTAGTTTTTTGCATATTTAGCCGTTCTGCTGACAGGAAGAAAAAAAGTGAGCACAGAGTGAGACAGAAAGGGAGGTCAGCCAGTTCCTCAACTGATTAGCCAACAGCTCAATTATTTGCCTTGGTCGAAAATTAGGCTCGTTTCCAACTAGGAATTTTACATGATAATGGGAACAAATAATTAGACCAATTTCCCTCAGACCAGACTGTGCGTCACGAGAAACTGCAGTGATTTGTTCGGCCTGGCTGGAAAACGGAGGGAAAAAGTGTCTTTCTCCTTGTAACAGTGAGAGACAGCTGCCTTATGTAAAAAAAAAAGTCTATTTAGTCAAGAATCGCTTTTTTGAGATATTAATACCAAGTACCAATTACTACAGTTGTTTCACAGTTATCAAAATATCCACAAACTTTCGAGTTATATGATTTTACACAACCTAGCTACAACCTAATTAATCTAATTTTAGCTCCATTAGCTGGTCGAAAACATCATCTCTGGATGACTTTTGAGTGATGCCAGCTGACTCGTTTTAAAACGAATCCTGAAAAAGGGTTTTAAATATATATTTAATAGTTAGATAAATGACACCATCCTGAAACACCTGAGGCTAAAGCTGCAAATCCCAGGCAAAATGTACTCACCAGCTGATGATACACATAGAGGACAAAGTAAAGAAACAGCACTGGTCTTTCAACAAAGTGTAAAGCTGGTTAATCCTAGATTATAAATATGATAGAAATGCCAGATTGGACTGTTACTTAATTCTGATATTGCCCTATGAGGCTGCTTAGCTGGCACACCTGATTGTATTTCCAAAAGGTATGTTTTTACTTTTAATGTAATAAAAGAGAAGGCTTCTAAGATGAGGACCAACAAGCAAATGTGTTTAGCAAATATAACACTTCCTCAGGATATGCTGACGGGAGTTGACTGGACAGCGCAGCGCCACAGCTGACCAGACTGAACTAAGACATCACAATATCACTGGAGTTTCATACCAGAGAGAAGACATATAAGAGATTCAACTCAAGTGTATCACTACCACGTTTTATATTTAATTTGTTTTCTAATTCACCACCATCTACTTACACATCTGAGCAAGAGGACTACAAACTACTTTCTTCGTTCATCAGAAACATTTTTCTCTTCACAATCTGTTATTTCCCTCATCAACATTCAATATCGATACAATTAAAATCAGAAAGAGTATCTGCCTGCAAGAAACACGTTTACATCAATGATCGTCATTTCCATTCAGTCGCACCAGGCTGTTAGTTCCCGGGTGTCGGGTTGATGTGTTACAGAATTTTAATTTGTTTAATAAAGTCTTTAAAGCCTACTGATAGCTGATCCAGCTGTGATCAGCTGCTGCCGTCATCACAAGCGGACGTTGCTTCACATGACACCTAAAAATAAAATATGTCTCATTTCTCTAAAGGTGTATTTCCTTGTTTCATCTTTCTTCACATCTCATCCTCGCATCTCTCCCCTGTGTCTTACGTGGGCGGAGGTTAGATGCAAGTTAGAGATGCAAGAGAGGGAAACGTGGATGTAAGATCAGGTATTGGGATGAACTCTCTGGTAACATCCAGGAAGGTTTTTTTCCAAGGATGGAGAAGGCATGACCAAGCCCTACCCTCCTTGATTGGCTAGTACTTGTTGCCCTCATTGGTTGGGTTGGTTCGGGTTTAGTGAAGATGAGTGGGACTGGTTACAGTTAGTGTAAGAATGTAAGGGTAAGCCAATCAGAGGCAGAGTAAGGCAGAGTAGGGCGGGTCATGCCTTCATCATCCTAGGAAATTAATTTGTATCTAATACAGCTTCCACACAGTGAGAAAATACTACATTAGCAGTGTATCATTCAGTCAAGAGTGAAGCTCTTACCCTGAAAAATTATGTAGTTGATTGATGATACATTGGCTAATACAGCTGGGTTCCTACTGTGGTAAGCTAGTTAGCGCTACTTGCTATCATTTGCAGATGACAATATATCAGATAAAACAGACTGTTTGATGCATTCCTTATACTTTTGCTCTTTTCTTTAGTTTTATTTTCCTATTTTGTAAAAGCCAAAAGAGACATCACCTTCAAAACTGGATACAGAGTATCTCTGTCACCAGAATTCCCATGCATATTACTTTAGCATGTAGAAAAAACTCAAAGCTTGACAGTACTTCGGTGCCAGTGATTAGACAATTGCCGTGTAGACGAATTCGGCGAGCGATTTGTGTATGCCGCCATCTTGCGGCGGCGCCATTGCTGCAGTGACATGTGTCAGTCATCAATTCATTATGCTGTCATTGTGAACTGACTCTCTACAATGACAGCATCATGAATAGCTGGATTGATGATATTAGACAGTGGCCTCCGGTAACTGATGAAGGTATCTTAAATGAGCACCGATATTAATATAGAAATAAATCATTTGTTTGAACGATAAGCAGGAAAGATTAAAATAATAGAGAGATAAAAGACTGTATCATTAAACACTGTGTAATATAACGTTAGCATACGTTACGTGTGCTGACGTTAGCAAGCTAGCAGCGTGACATTTAATCATTATGGACAGGCTACGTGACCATCACATCATACTGAAGTCGATCAATATTGATCGCCTTCAATATGATGTGATGGTCGTCTAAAAGGTGGTGTAAAATTTGCCCGACCCATCCGGAGCTCAGGTAATTTTGACCCTCAATCAGAGACCTGTAATTGCCGTTTTTCTGGTCATCGGAGGCCAGGCGATCAATAAAATATTCTTGAATACCTAAAACAAAACACAAACACGTGTTGTTGTTGTTGTTTTTAGTCACGTATAGCCTGTCCATAATGATTAAATGTCACACTGCTAGCTTGCTAATGTCAGCACACGTAACGTATGCTAACGTTATATTACACAGTGTTTAATGATACAGTCTGTTATCTCCCTATTACTCTAATCTTTCCTGCTTATCGCTCAAACAAATGATTAATTTCTAAATTAATATCGGTGCTCATTTAAGATACCTTCATCAGTTACCGGAGGCCACTGTCTAACATCATCAATCCAGCTATTCATGATGCTGTCACTGTAGAGAGTCAGTTCACAATGACAGCATAATGAATTGATGACTGACACATGTCACCGCAGCAATGGCGCCGCCGCAAGGTGGCGGCATACACAAATCGCTCACCGAATTCGTCTATAGGTGACATGTTTAGTAAACAGTCAATTACGCTCATAAAATCAAGGATGACATAAATAGACCCATAATTAGGCTGATATTTGATTAATTCAATAAAAGGCCAGTATTGGTGCAATATAAACACAGAAAATAATATAATCATAAACATAGTGTATACCTTCGTGTATTGTTGGGGCCTGCAACATTTGCTTGTAGTAGGAGTAGTACAGTCCACACTCTGTCCGAAATGAGATCTCCCGCTCCACTTCCTGAAAGCAAAAAAGGGGATTTCAGCTATATGAAACCAAAGACTTCTATTCTCCAAAATATGGAAAACAGATATCCTGGCAAAGCATGACAGAAACATGGAGGATAGAGGCAAAGCGGCTAATACACTCGTAATCCTCAACAGTAACAATACGACAGGTAGTGGTGTGTGGGTGTGGGTGTGTGTGTGTGTGTGTGTGTGTGTAGGTGCTTAGACGATGTCTTCCCGGGAGATTTTCTGCTTGCCATGCATCATTACTGTTCCACTGGGGGGTAAAAACTGAGAGCAAACAGTGAAAAACCGGCTGCGGAATATTAACTCAATCATCCATCTATCATGTCCAGTTTGTAAATACTTTTCACGTCTGTGCTCAACCAAAAAATACATCCTTTAACTATAGTGATATATTTCTTTGACATATTGGTTATCTGATTTAACTAAAAGTCTCCAGCACTGTCCCTCCATGATGGAAGTGGTCATCCCTAAAGATCTTGAAATCTGCTTACTAAAAACCAAAGCATATTTAAGTATAATGACGATGCCATTTATAGCATCTTTTTCCAGTGATGAGTCATGATTAAAAGCTCATCCCTTATAAAGAGCCATAAGAAACAAATTATGGAGACGAAAACCTTGATGATTCATCGACAAACTGACACTAAATGGAACAACCCTGCTGATTTCCATCTGCTTTACAAATTCAGCTTTCATGCTGAAAAAGACAAAATTCCTCCATGAAATGACATTCAAATACACTTTTATATATATAACATGTCCCTTTGTAGTCTTTAGCCCCGTCTGTGCAGCTACATCTCATCATCTTAAGCAGAACTGATAGCAGAATTTAATAAGCCTGGCTATTTAATTCCTGTGATGTCCTGCAGATCATCATACCCAGTCTGTCATTACCTGACAGCACATGTGCTTCTATAGCAATCAGGGAGGATCAACAACATGCAGGACACCAGGCAAATGTGTTCCCACCAGCTAGCTCATTTAATCCACCTAGTTTAAACTCTTTAAACTTTTAGTTGAGTGAAAACCAGCAGGCTTTTGAGACCTGAGGAGCACAACAGAGAGTTCATAACACAGGGAGATATCAGTCATTTTTACATAGACAATTTTATTTGATATAGCTGTGCGACAACCCCCGTCTGCCACGCGACAACTCTCTATTTTAGGATGCTCTTCTATTTTTGTCGCGCTACGCTCCCCTACGCGACCCTCCAGCAGATAAAAACTACATGAAATAGTGTGCTAAACGAGCACAATGTGTTTTTAAATGAATAAACCATTATCAGAGGTGATATGTGATGATTTTTTTTCATGCATTTACCCATGTTTATCCGTGACATTGTGTAAATGTCCGTGGCGGACATTTGAAAGCAAGTAGATGACAAACAGTACAGTAAACTTGTAGATAACTCAAATATATGTAATAACTTAGGTGGAAAATGCTTTAACATTTCATGGCTCAGCAAACGGTAAACAACCCCGCTGGTTTCTCTACGTGTTGCTTCCGTATGCAGTCAGTGGAGCCCAAATGAATATGCCGCGACGCTACGCTGACGTGACGCTGACGTGACGCTTACGTTTGCAGCCAGTGGAACCCGGGCGTTACAGCTGATCATGTGTAGAGGCCTTTAGGGACCGTTCGCCACGGTACCGCTGCTGGGCAGGGTGGAAACAAAGCCCTTTTCACACAGAGCGCGCAAAGCGCAGACCTCCGCCGACGAACCCATTCATTGTGTATGTGCTACCGCGGCGCAAGAGCGCACCGCTCTGCCGCCGAGCTGAATTGAAATTTTTTTAATTTCACTGCAACACGCTGTGACGACACCTCGGCGCCGCGCGTCCAATAGCAGAGAAGAGCCTGAAGTAGACCCGGAAGCGGTCACCATGGAGCTGTAGCTCCTGAACGAGCCTGTACTCCCCCAAATCCTGTCCTCTGCGCCCTACCCCTCAGTGGGCACCACGAAAGCTCTATGTAAAAGAGGCTTAAGTCCTGCAGAGTTTCAGAGGACCTGGAGAATGTTTTAGGATAGTAATAACATTATATAAGATAATCATATTGCAACGATAATATATATAAGATAATAACATTAAAGACAATGAAATTGCAATACTTTTTCAAAACTTGATGATTTTACCTTTCTGTACATTTTGTATACAAATTCATGAAATAATTTTGCTTGTAAATGTCTATTTGCATCACGTTTATTACGGAAAACACATTATTTGATCAATTTACATTGTGCCCCTAAAGTTCTTTGTGCGCTCCTTACTTTTTCAACTTAGGAGCACATGTGCTCCTTGGGAAAAAAGTTAGCGTCAAGCCCTGTGTAACCACATTCAACTCAAGCATTTGAATGTTAGCCTGCACAACGACAGCTGCTACTGCTAGCGGTGCTAGCCACACATAGCCCAAATTGACATTGTTCACCTGGAGACGCTGTGATCCCACCCAGGCCGGGGAAGATAACGCAGCTCATCATGACAATGACCTCGCAAGATATGCTTCCACTTAACTTTGCTGAAGGTAAAGGCTTCAGGAAGTTAATGGAATATGTTGAGCCTGAATGTTCACATTCATCCCGCACAGCAGAAAGTGTCTCGTACATTTAAAATCCTACATGGTTGTTGAAGATTGTTATTAAAGACTTCAAAGGGCTCTTAATGCACACAATATTTTTGGGACAATGTTTCAAATACTTAACAATAAACTGTGCTACATTTTGATTGTTTTCTGAGTGTTTTCCTCTTTTTAGACGTGTCTTAATTAATATTTTTCGTTTAGTCGACAGGGAAATTAGTCACCAGGAACATCCCTTGTGTCCAGACAACTCATGCTCCGAATATCACATAGAGCCCCTTTAACTCTAGAACTATCCTTATTGCTCATAGTTCCCTCTTTTTGCCAGTTTAAGACTGATTGATATGGTAAATGGTGAGTGGGCCGCACTTACATAGCACTTTTCTCACTGAGCAGACAAAGCACACTGGGGGCGGCTGTGGTTTAGGAGATAGAGCGGGCCAACCACTAATTGTAAGATCGGTTCAAGATACTTGACTCCAAATTGCTCCTGATGGCTGAGCCATCAGTGTGTGAGTGCATGTCAATGTTTAGATGAGCAGGGGGCACATTCTACGGTAGTCTTGGCCACCACTGTGTTAGTGTGTGTGACTGGGTGAATGTGGTTGTGTAGTGTAAAAGCGCCTTGGGTGGTTGGAAGACTAGAAAGGTGCTGTACAAGTGCAAGTCTAGTTACTCTACAATTTGCTTTTCAGTCAACTATGAACACAATCTCACACACTGATGGCGCTCGGCTGGCCATTGGAAGAAATCTGGGGCTCAATGTCTTGCTCAACGACACTGTAACATGACAGGACAGGCCAAAAAAGGCTGGGGATTAAACCAGCAACCGCACAATTACTGGACAAAGTTACAAGTCACTGATGATCATTGATACATCAATGACGACACATGCTGTGTTGCAAAGCAGACACGATTCCCTTTTTTTTTTTTACACAACATTTCACACACCATGTAGGGCTGCCCCCTGAAAGTCGGAGATCAAAATCATCAGTCAGAAACCCCTCGATCAACTGAGATTGTTTTTGATATTGCTCCTCGCTTTCACACTGCTCTTCAGTACAGGCTGCTGCAGACACAGAGGCAGCTGCCTAGAGGAGGGGGGGCTTTGCCCCGTAAGGCTCTGAAATAACATCATTATCTGCCCTCTGCTTAGAAGTGATACATTTACCACTCACAGCAACTTAATACTATACAGTATCTGGCTTCTGTTTTAGCGACGGCAAAAAATGTTGTGGCACATTTCCAATTTGTCGTTAGTGCAGTTAGCTTCTTTACTGTATTACATGAATGTCGCTGTTAAAATGAATGTCCTGCTGAACCCCGCTCAAACATTAAAACTCTATGTGGAGAAAAAGTAAGAAATTGTTTAACACTCATATTAAACTGCCAAATCCTATTTAGGTGAGATATTTACCTGACGCTATGAGATATTTATTGTCGGGTGCAGCCCTAGTTTGATGTACAGTACAGGCCAAAAGTTTGGACACACCTTCTCATTCAATGCGTTTTCTTTATTTTCATGACTATTTACATTGTAGATTCTCACTGAAGGCATCAAAACTATGAATGAACACATGTGGAGTTATGTACTTAACAAAAAAAGGTGAAATAACTGAAAACATGTTTTATATTCTAGTTTCTTCAAAATAGCCACCCTTTGCTCTGATTACTGCTTTGCACACTCTTGGCATTCTCTCCATGAGCTTCAAGAGGTAGTCACCTGAAATGGTTTTCCAACAGTCTTGAAGGAGTTCCCAGAGGTGTTTAGCACTTGTTGGCCCCTTTGCCTTCACTCTGCGGTCCAGCTCACCCCAAACCATCTCGATTGGGTTCAGGTCCGGTGACTGTGGAGGCCAGGTCATCTGCCGCAGCACTCCATCACTCTCCTTCTTGGTCAAATAGCCCTTACACAGCCTGGAGGTGTGTTTGGGGTCATTGTCCTGTTGAAAAATAAATGATCGTCCAACTAAACGCAAACCGGATGGGATGGCATGTCGCTGCAGGATGCTGTGGTAGCCATGCTGGTTCAGTGTGCCTTCAATTTTGAATAAATCCCCAACAGTGTCACCAGCAAAACACCCCCACACCATCACACCTCCTCCTCCATGCTTCACAGTGGGAACCAGGCATGTGGAATCCATCCGTTCACCTTTTCTGCGTCTCACAAAGACACGGCGGTTGGAACCAAAGATCTCAAATTTGGACTCATCAGACCAAAGCACAGATTTCCACTGGTCTAATGTCCATTCCTTGTGTTTCTTGGCCCAAACAAATCTCTTCTGCTTGTTGCCTCTCCTTAGCAGTGGTTTCCTAGCAGCTATTTGACCATGAAGGCCTGATTGGCGCAGTCTCCTCTTAACAGTTGTTCTAGAGATGGGTCTGCTGCTAGAACTCTGTGTGGCATT